GCACAATGCAACGCAACGCGTAAAAAGACAGTATAAGTCATTATAATCAGTAATTATGTCCCCACTGGATGCAACAAATGCCTCGTTTGTAATGGGTTTTAATGTTGTCTCGTCGCTCCGGCCTGACAGGGCATCAACAGTATGTGAGGGGCGTAACATTTCCGTCTCACGCTTGAGGTATTCAGCCAATCACAACGCACTGGATAGCTGGCCAATCACAGCACACCTCGCTTTTTCAGACCGATGAGCTTTGTAAAAACGACACGTTTCAAAAAGGCAGGGCATAGAGGAGAAACAATGAAACATACAGTATGTGGAAAAGAATGTGTTTTTTTAAACTTTAAACCGCATAAACATTTCATTACACCAAATACACAAAATAATGTTCTTTTTAGCAGCATCATATGACCTCTTTAAATCCAGAGAAATAAGCAATTTTAGCTAGTGACACGGACCGTGTCTATAGTGTCATTGTGTCGCCTGCCAATGACGTCATACACCCTCGATTTCCGGTGTTGTTTTGTAGAAAGCATGGAAACACCAAAGACGCTTTAATATGCTATGCATTTTATTAGACAGGTGACGACCGCACAGTAGCATTATAACAGAACGTTCAAATGTATCTAGTATGATAAAACAGCGCTGCTTACTTCCGCTGCTTTCTGGAAGGAGCGGAAGCGGTCGACTGTGGCATAATAAAAGCTCCGCTGCTTTCGAGCCGTGTGTCGTGCTCGTTCAGCGGCCTCGTTTTGCTTCGAGGGCTTTCCACCTCACTCTGCTTCGTACTACAACGTTAATAAATCTTTCATACATTAGCTCATCCATGAACATGATTTCTGCCCAAGTCCCATCGGATTGCTTCGGCTGTGGGGATGAAGACAACAACTCCCATGATTCCACACTCAGTCAGGGTCATCTAACTATGCCTTTGTTTCTTTTGAATGCGCGCCCTCTAGTGGCAAAACAATTACATATTGTGCCTTTAAAGGGGTCATATGATGAGATTTCAATTTCTCCTTTCTCTTTGAAGTGTTACAAGCTCTTGGTGCATAAAGAAGATCTGTAAAGTTGCAAAGACTAAAGTCTCAAATCCAAAGAGATATTCTTTATAAAAGTTAAGAGTCAACCACGCTTACCTAAAACGGCTCGTTCTAACACGCCCCCACATGTCTACATCACTATATGGGAAGATTTGCATAACGCCGCCCAAATGTTCACACAAAGCAAGAAGGCGTAACTTTTATTCTCGCTGTAGTATTGATTTTTTGCTGCCGCCACCGCCATGTTGTGAAGGCACTGTGTGTTTAGTTGTGAAAGCGAAACTACTTTGTTTGGTCTTCCAAAAGAGGACGATATCCGCTTTGTCATGCCTGGAGCTGATCCGTGCTGTTTGCTGAGGAAATACATCGACTTCGCGCTGTGGATCCCCGGATCGGCTTTCACCGTGGATGAAGCGGAGTCCAGCCCGGGGTCGTCACATGTGGTTGCCGCAAGCCCGCCTGCCGCACCATTCTCAAGGCCGCCGGCCGCCGCTCACTCTAGCCCGCCGTGTGACGCTGTGTTTCATTGTGAAAGCGAAACTACTTTGTTTGGTCTTCCAAAAGAGGACACGACTAGAAATCAGTGGTTAAGTTGTATTTACAACACTGTTCCAGAACACTTCAACCCAAATATTCAGATGTGTGCGGCACATTTTATGGAGGACTGTTTCCTGATCCTGGGAGAGTAGACTACATTGCCGGCTGTTCTGACTCGCAGACTGCAAGTAAATTTTTTATATTTAAAGAATTTGCCACTGATAATTTAAACGCAAGTTTTGAGCAGTATAGAGTAGGGCTTGTCGTTTGTCATTTGTCATTTCTCAAATGCAGACATGGTTTTATGTTCACGCAGCGCCATGCAAGTATAAAAAGACAGTATAAGTCATTTTAATCTGTAATTATGTCCCCACTGGATGCAACAAATGCCTCGTATATAATGGGTTTTCATGTTTTTGAATCGTGGCTCCGGCCTGACAGGGCATCATCACAGTATGGTGAGGGGCGTAACATTTCTGTCACACGCTTGAGGTATTAGGCCAATCACAACGCACTGGATAGCTGGCCAATCACAGCACACCTCGCTTTTTCAGACCGATGAGCTTTGTAAAAATCGACGCGTTTCAGAAATGCGGGGCATAGAGGAGAAACAATAATGTACAGTATGTGTAAAATAATCTGTTTTTTGAACCTTAAACCACAAACATTTCATTACACCAAATAAATGTTCTTTTTAGCAACATCATATGACCCCTTTAAGGGCGAGCTGCGGATATGAATAAAGGCAAATACGGAGTTGGGTTTTTTCAACAGAAGAAAAAAAAGCTCTCGTTTATTTGTGAGTTTAATTAACTCAGTCTCTCCATAAAACTCTTTAAGAAGCACCTCGCCACCCCAAACAACGAACCAACCCCCTTCTCGTCTTCTCGGAGCTCTCCCTAGTCCTGCAAGCTTTGCTCGCTCCAACACCCCCCACATCACTATAGCAACCAGTGGGATAGTAACGCATACACAATACCCCCCCCCCCCCCCCCCTGTAAAAGTGCTGACAAACTTCTGAACGCACATTTTTAATTCATTTGACATGTATATTCTCATACTCTCTCTAAATAAACGCTACAATAATTTGTTATTTACACGCCGAATCTTACCTTTATCATACTTCTTAAGTGGAGTCTTGGCCCGGTGTCACAACACTTGTGCGGCTTCGATCGACTCCTCAGCCGCGACTAACTCCTCCGACAGTCCAATGTCCGACGAATTACGCATATTAACTTAGCGGAGATCGTTAAACAGCCTGATGGTGAATGCGAAAGTACATAGTGAACAAACAGCCAGCCGATCTTTTCGTCTGAAGCGTGTATTCACAAGAACAAACAACCCGTAGTCACAGATCTATCGAGACGGAAAACTTTCCATGAACTGTGTAGCTCAAGCACTCCCTCAGGCGATTTAACGGCGCATGAACGAAATTAACCGGGCACGAGACAGATTTGCGGCTCAGAACGGCTTCAGTTAAAAGTTGAAAGTTGGTTCGCTGCGGTGGAAATGCTCAGCCGGAGAACCATGACTCCAGGCAGCGTCGCGACGGTATTGGACAGCATCAGTGCACTTGTTGCGCGCTGATTGCTTCGGGGCGGAGAAACAAGTCGACTGTGATATGCTGTTGATAGTCTGCCCGCGGGACGCGCCAGCATTATGACTGCTATATAAATATGGTGATATCACAGTATTTTTGCTTTAACATTTAGAAAACATTTCCCTCAAGATATGCCTTGAATCTTGACTATCACCAGCAGTTCAGCAGCACAGACGTGTTTCAGCCCTCAAAACGACTGTATTATGCTTTTCAGTCATTCTTGAGACATGGGACAAAACAGGTCCAGCAAGGGTAACTGCTATTAGGTTTAAAAATACAAATATTTTCAATTTTAAATGTCATGAGGGATTAATAATAGAATGTATTTAACACAATTATCACCTTCAATTAAATTTTCTCATTATTATACCAAATCTATGTTTCTTAATGTCCTCTCACTACATCTAAAACAGTGTGTCCACAGAGAAGGGTTCAATCATTCATATGCAATAAAATGGATTAAAAAAAATTTTAATGATGAAAAAGAGCTTGTTTTATCAAAAGCAACACTTAATAATATCTGCTATCAAAGCAAGGTTGTTTTTTAATGACACATGCATGTTTAATACGATTTTAGAGTTGCGTCCCCACTTTTTGTCAACACGGTCAGACATTCAATAAAATGTAATAAAATCAGGGAATATCAGGGGCAGCTGTCACTCTAAAGGACCCCCTTGCCACAGTTCACCTCTGCAGAGTACAGCAGTGTCAGACAGGCTCTGCTAAGTTTTATAGTTTTAGAATTAAATCCTAATGTTAATATTTCCTGTGTCACAGCCATGATATGTCAACACCATCTTCCAATTTCTGAGGAAATTATTTGAAATATTTAGATAATTTTATTCTCCTGAAGCAGGTTCTATTAGCATCTAGCATCAACAGAAAAAAATAAAATGGCTACTACATGAACTCCATTGGTTTTGTGAAAGAAATGCCAAATTTGTCAACACCGTCAGATGTCACCACCATAAGATTTTGTGTTCCAATGATATCAAAATACTTCAATGTGACTCTTGAATAAAAGCTTTATAAACAATAACATACTCACTGATTGTTGTGTTTGTTTTAATACAGTAATTGACTGATTCAATGTATTTGATAGTTAAAATGACTACAAATTCAAGTTTTCGTCAACTCCGTCAGTTCTGTCACCTCCGTCAGTTGAATATTTTGATAATATTTCATTATGATATTTTATATTTGTTGTGGAATTATTGGTCACATGTGAAAGTGTAATCTGTCTGCTAACACAAGAATGTGTTTTGAAATGTTAAAAACATCTTGAATGCTGTTAAAGATAAAGTTGAAATTATATTACACAGTCCAAGTTAAAACAAAAAGCACATTTTGTTAAAAAAGAGAAAAGTTGGGAGGTTGTATCAAAGCATAGCTCAGTAGCTTAGTACATATAAGATACCTAAATGTAGTTTCATTTGTCTAAGTACAAGGTTTTATTTTTTCAATTTTGCACCCTGTTTTGTCCCACTTCTCTTCTGTTCTGTCCTGCCCAATAAATGTGAATAAATTCTAAAGAAAATGTTAGTGCTGCTACTTGTCTGTGCAAAACTTGCTAGGGTGGATCCCAATGTGTTGCTTTGCAGTTGCTAAATTTAGTGTTTTTAGCTCAGTGTTTACTAGTTCTTGCTTCTTGGCCCCATTATGGCTTCCATTGTACATCCGAGATTATATTAGGCAAGCTTAATTTCTTTAACACAGTGTGGGATGAGCACAAATTTTAGCCAAAGGGTGTATTCAAATTTTCCAAGTATGACCCTGTAAATTACATTTAAACATTTGACAGATGCTTATCCAAATTTATCCCCTTGGAAATTGCTACCAGGTATATCTCAATTCAATATCTCCATGAATTGTAAATGGACCATTCTTATTTTTTTATGGAATATTGCAGTGTTTATTATAAATGGCGTATCTGTATCATTATAATTTTTTAATTCATGCCCTCTTTAATCCAAACATTTTTATTTAAAAATATTAACTTAATCTCATCCTTGCAACCTCTCTCTCTCTCTCTTTTTTTTAGGGGTTCAAGCATGGTGAATCCCTGTTGTAATAGTTAGAATGACCAAGGATCTCCACCTAAAACTGATCGAGGCAGTTGTAGAGACTTGAAACTTGGAGGGATGGTATAGTCTGTCTACAACAGGGGTCACTAAACTCGGTCCTGGAGAGCCGGTGTCCTGCAGAGTTTTGCTCCAACCCTGATCAACAACACCTGAACCAGCTAATCAAGGTCTTACTTGGTATATTTTAAACTTCCAGGCAGGTGTGTTGAGGAAAGTTGTAGCTAAACTCTGCAGGACTTGCCCCTAGAACTACTGCTGTCAATCAAATCATTTGTTAAATAATTGAGAATATGTAAAAAACCTACTTTTGCAAACTGGTCCTAGGTTTTTCGCTAAATCTCACAAAAAAACAAAAAAACACTACAGTACAATTCTCTGGACTCTCTAGGTCAATAATTATCAAAAAAATTTAACTTTACCCTTTGGGTAGCTATAACAGGGTCGTTTAGAAAAGGGACGTGTCCAAATTTACCCCAAAACATATAAATCCTAAACGAAAACTCAAACCGTCACAAAATTAGGTGAGCACATGCAACAGGTGATTCTAAACAAGCATGCAAAATTTTACCGAGATTGGACCATTTTTAGCATAGCTTTAAGCTTCACATAGCTTTAAGTATTCTATGATCTTTGGCTAAAGTCAGACCACTCTGTTTGCTTTAAATTTTGTAATTGTACAAAAGTATCTAATCTAATTTAAATAAAAAAAGATCATGCTCATGCTACATGTATGTAGCATCTTTGTTTGGACTGTGAATAAAATACAGTAATAGAGCAAATAAACAGCTTGTTCATGTACTTTTAAAAAACAAATCAGTAATCGGTATCAGAATCAGCGCATTTGCTGACAATCAGAATCGTCCATGAAAAATCATGATCGGTACATCTCTAGTTTTTGTAGATAGCCTACTGGTTCGTTTCCTCAAACAATCATAAATTTGACTGACTATTAACAGCAAGATCAAGAGCGAGTGAGCACACTGGTCCACTTAAACTGGTATAAACAGGTATACACACATAAACACACACTGTGTTAGTGTGTACCTGGTATTCCCTATGTGTCAAGTGTGTGTGTGTGTGTGTGTGTGTGTGTGTGTGTGTGTGAATTTTGAACGACAGTATATACGGGTGCTGTCCTACTGAACTGATTCTGATCGTAGTGATGGGCCATTTGGACCAAAGAATGCCAGGGCTGATTTTTTTGTCCCAGTCCAGCCCTGCCCAGTTCCCTCAACAATAAACCCAATAGGATTTTTTTCCATTGGCTTTTGAATTATTGCTCTGTGACCAGCAAATGTTTATGATTCTTGCATGTGTTGTTCATTATGATACTTTTCAGAAAAGAACACACAAATTATGAAGTCGAAATACACCAGAAGCAAAAAAATCTAAACATAGGCTATAAATTAACTACACCACAAATGACTTATATGTCACCATCATTAAGCTCCTGACAACTCTTTCAGTCTTTCATTTTCCCTGAAAGTTTGAGCTAGAACAGTTTGCAAGAACATGGTTATTAACACAACGAAGCTGTGAAAGCAGAGTAGTAGTAAGTATGAGTTGACCTGTTGAAGACGTTTAATGTCCAAAACCTCTGTAGTTACATTTAGCAACTTGATAGCAACTGCCTTTTTCAAGACAAGTAAAAGCTTTATATAAAATCACAAGGGGGTATTACTGATGCATTTTATGTTGTAGAATAAAATATGAAAGTATCCTGAGCTTGCGTTAACCAAGCACAGACCTTATTTCAGTGCTAAAATGCTAACTAGTTTTTGGGTTTTGGCCTACAAAAAAATGCATTATCCCACTCTATATGGGAGGAAAGCACTCTCAGCTTCTGTTTCATGCCAACTTTAAGCTACAGGAATGCCAGCCTAGTTATAGTGATGTTTGCTTTAGCAAAAATACACACAGACACGTAATTTTTGTTCGCAAATGAAAATAAGAAACATAAACAATGATTTATATTTTACAGAAAGTTCTGATGACACCATTTAGTGAAATTTAAATATTTTCTTACAAAGCATGGTTTTGCACCACTAAATTCCCATTCATGTTGTCATCTTCATCTGCGTATAACCAATTAAATAGCAGTTTATCAGCCACTTGCAACCACACTTTGTCTCCAGATTCCATTTCTAGGACTGCTCCTCCTGCAGCCTGGGCCTCACCACCTTGGTAGCTGTCCATAGTGTAGATCACTTGCTGACCATTCTTCATCAGGGCCACTTTTACATTGCGAGAGTACACAGTGATATGGTAGTAAAGATACACTCCGCTGATGGCACAAGTGAAGCGGCCGGTCTCAGGATCATAGTGTCCCTGGCAGTTATAGAGGATTTTATCAAAGCGAATTGGAGCGTTAGCGGCAGGTAATTTGGTGCTTTCGCTCAGTGTAGCTGAGAAGGCACTTTTTGGTATCTCAGGCATGTCCCCGTTTGGGTCTTGCTCATCAACGTCCCCTTTTGTTCCTTTCTCACCATGAACACCAATGCCCAGGGCCCCAAAGGTCTCCTTGTGGTCCTTCAGGGTCTATTGGACCCACATCCCATTTGATGCCCTGTGGTCCTGGCAAACCAAGTACTACCTTCTGACCTTTTAAACCCAGTGGCCCTGGGAAGCCTTGGGGCCCCATTTTGCCAGGTGGGCCCCTTTCTCCATTGTCTCCACACTTCCCCTTCGCACCGGCTATGGCATGAACACCTGAAAAAGCACCAACCTGATGATAGCCAAATGAAATTCAAATATTGTATCCTTCTTAAGTGAATTGTATCCATTTAGAAACTACCAGACTGAATATATATATTAGGGCTGGGCCAGAAAAAGCTGCGAATCGATCTGTTCCGGTATTTATTTCAGCACACATTTAAAACAAGATCTGATTAACGTGAATCTTATCATTAGTCTTCTCCTTCATTTACCTTGCACGATGTTACAACAGAAAGCCTGTCATTCATTCAGCGCTTATCATGGCCATACGCGTGATTCGCAATGCTCAGGTGAAATGCTATAGTAATACTATAAATCTGCAGAAGAATTTGATATCACGCATAGGCGCCATGATTACTGAATGGCGGGGCACACTGTTTTGTTTACTACACACATACTAGAGTGCAGATGATGCTTGCGGTGTTTTCAGCTTCTGCCGTCTCACTATATGATGATATGAACACGAATGTCATCTCCAGCTGCTCTGAGAGTCACTTCATTAGCATTTTACAGTTTCATTTGAGAAATCTACCGTCATATCACATACACAGCAGCTGCAAGTTCTTCACGGCAACCCATCAAAATAAAAGTTTAGTTTAACGTTAAGAAACTGTCAGAATATATTACTATTTAGCAGTCTTAAGACTCAATGCTACTACTGCTAATAATACATATTAATAAATCTTTATTTTTAAAGGAATAATCACATCTGTTTTCTTTTTAATTTGAACAGCAAACCTCTGTTGTGCAACACTTTGTTTGCCAAAAAATAAAAGGTTTTAATTTTCCTTCGATTAGGATAAATTAAATTAATGTTTTATGCCATCATCTGATTACCAGAAAAATTAAGAAAATTTTATAGGGCTCTATTATTGTTTAAAAAAGGACCCTATACAAAGAAAGAATAGGTTTAAAATACAGGCATGTGGTTCTTAATGTCTTTTTATTAATTCACCATTTGTAAACTGATGTGTACTGTAATTTTTTTTAGAAATATCAATAACATTTGTATTAAAACTATATTCACTGAATGTAATCAAAAAATCGAGAATCGAATCAAGAGCTTGCAAATCGAAATCGAATCGAATCGGGACATCTGAATCGATACCCAGCCCTAATATATATAATTTAATTAATAATTAATATGAATAATTAATTAATTGAATAATAATAATTTATGCATTTAGCAGACGCTTTTATCTAAAGCGACTTACAGTGCATTCAGGCTATACATTTGTTTTACCAGTATGTATGTGTGTTCCCTGGGAATTGAACCCACGACCTTTCACGCTGCTAACGCAATGCTCTACCACTACCATATATCTCACTCTCTCACTCACACAAATATAATATATACATTTTCAAATTGAAAATATATGTATATTTATACATATAATACATTGGAAGGATTTAGAAAAAGACACAAATAAATTTATATTTACCAGGTTCTCCTTTAGGTCCATCTTTACCAGCTGTATGTTCCTATATTACCTTTAGAAAACATAAACAGTTGTATTTTTACATGTATTGTATGAAACACTTACATCGCATGCAAGGAGGTCAAAATACTATTAATCTGACAAACCAAGCTTTGACTTTAAAAGCTAAATGTCAAATGGTACTGCAAACATCTTTCCAAATAATTTTTTACAACATTGTTTAATTTGTGTACCTATCTGACCTCATAACTTAGCTCAAAGGTGACTGATTAACTGGAGTCAAGCGGTTTGCTTTCATTCTTACCTCTGTCTCCTTTATCACCTTTGGCCCCATCTCTGCCATCACGTCCTGGCATTCCATTGTGTCCCGGGTCTCCAGGGATCCTGGGGTGACCGTACACACAGCCGGTATTTCTTTCAGAAACACTCTGCTCTGCGGCATTGACCAATCCAATTAGAAAAAGCATACAAATCTGTGTGGGAAAGAGTATGGTCCTTCGAGCACTTCAGCAGCTGGAGTCCAAGAACAGTCTCTGTGTTTGAGGAAACTTAATGTACACAAACATTTGAAGATTTTTCAGACTTGACATATTGCAAACCTGCTATTTCATTGGTCAGAAAGTCATCGTTTAGATTACTTATTTTATTCCTCTATTGAAATTCCTTTTTGTATTTTAATTTAGATAATTATCAACCTGAAACATGCTATTGCCCAATCCATATTAGCATAGAGTTTTGCTAATAAAACCCATTTATATTCATTACATTGTGAAGTAAAGCTAATATTAAACTGAACAAACCCTTATGAAAGTCAGTCTGTCACTTCCTTGAAGGCTTTGGGATGTTATGCGATCTTGTGCTTAATTGATTTGGTTGCTTTAGAAATGTTACTGAACAGTCATAAAGTCAGTCTAAAGAGCATCACGCAATTCATTGCTTAATGCATATGGTCCCATGTAGCTCCTTATGGGTGTTACTCTTGATTAAATTTCCACTTCAGTGACACTGCAAATGCAGCCCAACGCATCCCAACGCTTGACCTTATGAATCCATTTGGCTTTAAGCTTTTGAAATATGTCATGTCTGCCTTCCTACCCCTCTTAAACATAAAAGTTTCAATTAGAGCTAAAAGGTTTCTATGGCCATTTAGGAGAAACTATAACAGAGCTTCAATGTGCCACACCAAGAGAAACGTCTTTGGAATAGGTATATGAAATTCAAATATTGTGATTATATATTGCTAAATTAAATAAATAATAATTTCAGGCCATTTTAAACATATAGGTCAATATATATAGACTTGATCCCGTGTCTTAAAGGAATAGCTCACCCAAAAATGAAAATAATTCTTAATAATGTTGTAATAATGGTATTAATGTTGTAAATGTAGTTCAGTTTCTTACACCCTCATCATTTCACTTCATAATACTTCAATATATTGTCATTTTGTGTTTTTGAATCTGATGAGCGCAGTTACGTATACTGTCACTTATCAAAATTTATTTTCATTATTTTCATTTTCTTGACCATCAGAAAGCTGCCTGGTTTGAAAGTAACTTCTGTGCGAACGGTGCTTCATGAATCGCTGCACTATTGACAATAAACCTTTAAAAAAAAAAAAAAAAGTATAATCGAGAACATTTATAATCTGTAAATAAGCAAATTAAAACCCTGCAGCTTAAAATGTCTACTGAAAACTCAAGTATATTTAAAATATTGTACAATAGTTTTTAGGTTTAACTTCATGCAATATTGCATTTTATTTTAATTGAAAAAAGAACACAATAACCAATCGTGTTAAGGTACCAATTTATTAAACATTTACATCAAACATGGTCACCAAAACCAAGCTTATTATAAAACTGACATGGAATATTCGCACACAACAACAATGGACAACACAAATGAAAATATTATTAATCTCCATACAGTACTTCTGGTTAGTATGTGCATTGACATTCTTTACTTTTTCATTTTTGCTATTAAAACAGCAAAGGAACTGATCACAATATTCCAGCAATAACAACAGGTGCAATACAGTATCTGGAAGGGCAAACTGACCTTTACTGTACATTCAAACACTATGTAAACTAGTAGACTGTTATAGTTGCTGTCTGTTATTTGGCATATCAACACACTGTTCGCTCATAGAGAATAAGGCAGCTGTTTTGACTTGCTTAGATAAAACTAATTCTAATAGAAATAATTACTATCACTTTGCATACATTTACAAATAAATACATTGATTTTATCACAAGCTGAGCAAACCAAACTTAAAATAGATATATCTAGCATGCTCTAACACCTCTATACTTCAGTTTTTGACGTTACTAAGACTGCTCTTCTTCATCAAATAGATGCACCATCAAAGACCACTTATTGGTGAGGGCGTTTAAGGTCTTCTTGGTCTTTTAGGCAAGTTGCTGGGCACTATAGATTTACATAATCTGCCGATGCATGCCATAACCAGTCATGCCAGCCTGAGATGCCCCATGGTTACCACCCATCTGTAAGCCAATCAGATTCTGACCCTGCCGCAACTGCTCCTCAGAAAACTCTCGCCGGTTGCCTTGAGATTTCCTGTCACACGAGATCAAAAAGAGTTCATGCTGAAACAAAACAAAGTCCATTCACAAGTACAGCCAGACAGGGCTTAATGCCTCACTATGAATTAGTCTGGCAGTAATCTTCATAGGAATTGTCCTGCTCACCTGTGAAACCAGTCCCGGTTACCTCGGTAATGTCCATCGTCTTTTGTGAGAGCGACGCTACCCAGGGCCATTAGAGTTCTCTGGACGGCTGCCATGTCTTTTCCTTTAACCAAAGGAACCAACAAGCACTGAAGTGACTTTGGCTACACACCAAGAACACAACTTGCAATGCTTTCTAGGATGATGTATTGTAGTATGCAAGCTGATTTAAAGCAATCTTTCGAAACAATTCAATCTATATTAATTTTCTACAGTGGTTTGCTTTAACAAGCACCATGCTAATTCAGAAGTCCATGAAGTGCTGCTATAGAACTTATAAGAGCAAATTTGACTGTACCTTCCCACAAGTCCACTGTCTGAAAAATGTCTGTGGTTATTACTCCGTAAGCTTCAGCTGCCTGCAGGAACTGGGAGACCTTTTCCATCTGCTTAAAGGCCATCGGAGTCTCTGGGATCTTCTTAATAGGCTCCTTACCACGTGGATACAAACTGTTAATGAGTCTACAGAGGATCTGCAGACATGGATGAATGTGGGAGACAAAGATAAATAAAAGATTAATGGAATCATGTTGATGTGATATTGTCAAATTGATATTTACTCACAGTGCCATCCATTAGCCAGTTCTGAAAGTTTTGCTTCCCCGGCTGTGGTTTCTCTATATTTCCTCCACACTGAGCAACAATCCAGTCCATCAGTCGAGACTCCAGCTCTGGGTCATACTTCTGCTCGATCTTCTCCTGCACCTCACGGCTCAGTCCATAACTGGGTCCTCGGTTCGCCATGGTCAGGTTTAATAATTCTAGGTCTTTACCCAGTATATCTAAAAACAACAACAAATTTACACACTAGCTGAATCTGAATCAAAAGGAAGAAAATATAAGGCTTTATGATTTTCCCCTTAGATGTTATTCTTTCTGGTTACAGTAATTAAATGTGTATAACTTATTGTAAATATTAATTCACACATTAACTTATTGTAAACATGAATTTAATATTCCTGTATTATGATACAGACTATCATATATAAATTTGTGTATATGAACACATGGACTGACAAGGGGTAATATTGACCGGGGTGTGGTCCATGCTTCTGTTCCCATGCGTGACTTTAAAGAAAAAACGAAATATCTAAAACAATAGCGAACATATAATAATAATAATAATAATAATAATCTAGGATACCATTGCAATCATTTTACAATTCCTTATAGCGTTTGCAAACGCAAAAAGAAACTGCATATGCATATTTAGCCCAAATTAGTTTTAAACTATTACATTCAAACAGTTACCGATAATTATTTAATTCTACTTGCGATATTATCATACAAATAATTTAGTCAAGGATAAAGATTCACTTACTGCAAGCAGATGTGCGTGTCGTCCTTCTGTGCAGCGAGGCCAAATCCTTCCTGTGGTCAGCTCAGAGATGCTGGACTGAAACATCCATGCGGCGGGGGACGGGGCGTGGCTCCGAGAGCGTAATCGGTGAGGCTTGGCTTATGAATATTAATTAGCTTGCGTAGACGGACGCTGGTCGAAAGTAACCAAGTAGCCTCGGCGTGACAATTAACATCCATGAGCTGAGCATTTTCGGCGTAAACGTCGGGAATAGAATGACACAAAATAAAGTACACTATAGAACAGAATCAGAATACATTTCAGTAAACAATATTTAACTTTTCTTGGGTACAACTCATTATCTTAAAAATTAGATTATATATATATATATATATATATATATATATATATATATATATATATATATATATATATATATATATATATACACATACCTCACCGTAACCTTAAAGCGTTTTAATGATAGCAGATTTAAAAAGGAAGAATGAAAAAAGGGGGAAAAGATAGATTCTTTTGCTCTTCTCCCCTCAGTCATAAATAACCAAGTCCATTTCCAATTAGATTGAGATGCATTACTAATGCATGCAAATTCTGCAGAGAAAAAAGAGAGTGGCACGTGACAAACAGTAAAAACAAGTAATCTACTGCGAAAATAATTACCGAAATAAATTAAGCATGGCTTAAAGCTACTTTTACTACTAAATAAACACATTTTCTTAAGTAGACCTAAGCGAGTAAACTGAGGAATTTAAATCTTATGTAGTTGCTAATAACATACCCCTAAAATTGCATTACATGTAGGCTGAACACCAAAATATAAGGCAGCTTATATAATACTAGCAAGCTCTTCTATTGAGCAATTACTGTCATTTAAGTGACACCTGAATGATGTATTCACATTGTTATTCTCATCTAGTCATGTTTTATTTTGATTCAGTAAGCGAAAACTGCATGGTGCCATTTCAATTTGGCGCCCCCAGATAATCAACAGATATAGAAAGGTCAGTCTGGTTGTTAAAAAAAACAAGCTCATCGGACTGGAATGGCCCATTGAATATAGTCGAACACTAATCATCCACGTTAATAAACAACTGAGCTGTTTCTGGAGCAGTGGCAATATATCCTCCAAACAAACAGAGAACGCAGAGGGCAAGAGAGAACCGAAAGGTCAGCTTTGATATAACATGCTTAGTGGGATGTTCAGGTGGGCTAATGTAATAGTACACACATCACTAATTCCTTATACTATAAACATTTAGAGTTCCGCACAAACTCAGTCTACTGTACAGTGTTTGTGGTCTAATGTTGATTACAACAAAAGTGTATTTTAAAAAAGCAAATGAATGAGCTCAATTTGGAATCTGTTTCAATATTATTGCCACAAGACAAGCAACGAGTTTAGGACGGCAAGGAAGGGGGGAAAAAATTAAGTTAGTAAAGTTACATCCAATTTGGCAACTTCTTTGCCACGAGTGACAACACAATGCCATAAACCCTAAAACTCAAATGGCAATAACATTATGTAATCAGCTTTACAGTTTTAAAGCTCAAATTCAAGATTTAAAGAAGATTTAAATATGTGACGTTAATTACATCAAAATACTGCATATTGATATATAGGCTTTATTTCCATAAAACAGTGTGAAATACGGTAAAAAAGGCACAGAAGATCTAAACAAACCTTTTGCTAAACAAACAGCAGCTTTACCTAAAACGTATAATGGCACAGCATTGTGGTAAACATGTAAAAAACATGAAAAGAAAAGACTTTGTCCTCCCACAGTTCACCTTTTCCATCATTCTTGTCTCGCACAACAAAACAGGAAGCGGGAAGAAAGTGGGAGAGGGTCTTAAGGCTGGTTGCTTGGTAACCCCATCCCAAACGGTGTTTCACACCATGGTGGTAAGCTTGTCTATGAGGTCATCGATGGTGTAGACAATGAGCTTGATGTCATCTTTCTCAGCCATGCGGTGCTGGCCGTGGCGCCGCAGAATGACGTCCACGTCGGGGCTCAGCACACGCTCGGCCACTTGCATGGAGATGTGCCAGGGCACGTCCTTGTCTTTCAGGCCGTGAATGAGACGTACGGGGCAGGTGATAGGGATGGGGCTCTGTAGGATGCAGTGGTTCTCCGCCTCACGCAGGAAGTCCATACTCACAGTGTACATGCCCTCCTTGTTACTTTTCGTGGGGATTGTCCATACACCCTTGTCCTCACACTCTTTTCTCACCTGAATAACATATGTGAACTCTCTGACTGATTTTTAAATATCAATAACCCAACATTTGAGACACATTATTCAGCAGGACGATTCTGAACACTAAAGCATGTCAAACTACTTCAGTTGCATCTCACCTCTATAGGAAGTGTCTTAAAGGCTGTAACAAAATGATCTGCTGCTGTGGAAATGCCCACCAAGGCTTTTGTCTTCTCCGGGCGAGCGATAGCAGCCAAAAGCATCAGCCAGCCACCCATACTGGAGCCAACAAGAATCTAGGAGACAACATACTACAGTACTTACAGTCAAAACCAGTGTTCAATGCCATATTTAAAATTATTAGTGACTTCTAGTGGTCACTCTTTAAAATGAATTAAGAATTAAAAGGATAGTTCACCCAGAAATGAAAATTCTGTGATCATTTACTGAGGTTGTTCCAAACCTGCATGAATTTCTTTGTTTTGCAGAACATAAAAGAAGATATTTTGAAGAATGTGGGTAACCAGTTTCTGGTCCCCACTGACTTCAACAGTATTTTCCATAATATGGAAATCAATGGGGACCAGCAACTGTTTGGTTACACAGAAGAAAGAAACTTTGACATGAGGGATTGACATGAGGGTGAATTTGCCTTTTGAGGTGAACTATGCATTTGTCTTTTCTTCTCTACTGTGACGTATATCCGAGTGAAACGGCATCTGAAATGAGAGGGCAGGACTTGATTTCGTCCTTCGGGAATTAATTGGATTGTTGGAAGTTGGGGCGTTGCAAACAAAATGGAGGCAGATCTGAATGCCGGTTTGCAGTTAGAGGTGGGGGATTTCTCTCCACTGGATTCACAGCCGACACCCAAGCATGAATAAATGTTTTATTTATTAAGGATGACAACATCGATCACTGGCACAAAACATGCCCAAACAGAGAGAGAGAGACTGCCTGAATGACTGAGCGTCCTCCATCAGGTTAAGTCATATTCGTGAAAAAAATTTGCTTGCGATGTCCTAAGAGTAATGTTGTCGTAATATCTGATGAACAAAGAAATACATTTAACAGAGAACAAGTGGCAGGTCTATTACCTTGCATTTACACTCCAAAACGTAATGCACAGATCTATTTTGACATACAGTATCTGATTTTTTGCCCTGTCAATCATTACATTTTCGGATTCAATCCCAAACATTATTGCATACACATTATCATGATACCTTTGTTGGCGATATAAAATTAGGAAATACTATCAATAATATTTGATGTATCGTCCAGACCTAATCTGTACTACCTTCTAAACAGTCCAAGTCCTCCAAAATCCTACCAAACCTGTGAAGAAAACAGAGATATATAAAAATCAATAACAGAATGTCACTGTTTTTTAAAGAGCAAATAATAACCAAGCTGCATGTGCAGAGTAATGGTCTTTTAGCATCTGACACTGTTGTGAGAGTTGAGGTATTTCTCTCTCAAGGCAGGCTGGGAACCCAGAGGAAGATGCGCCTCTATCATACTGTCCTTCATTCTTTTTGGAGGCAGTTCATCCTGACTCTGAGCAAGATACTGGCTTAGTGATGTACGCTCGGCCAGCACTTGCTGATGATCTCTGTGTTATGGAGAAAATACATCATAAAATGTAAATTTCAGAGATTTGTCGAGCTGAACTAATATGTTACATCAGGAACATACTGCCAGTTGGTAGATGCACCAACTATTTCTTTCAGCCTGTTGCGAATTGTGAAATAAAAAAATAAAAAAGACCAAAATGAGACATCACACATTAAAGTGGTTAGCCTGTCAGTTTTGGTATTAGAAACACATACAGATAAGCTTTACACTAAAGAAGAGTTGGTCAATTTAAGGTCAATATTATGACAACGGCATTACTAAAAAAACAATTTTGTTAGTCTTAAAGGATTAGTTAACTTCCAGAATAAAAATTTCCTGATAATTTACTCACCCCCATGTTGTCCAAGATGTTCATGTCTTTCTGTCTTTAGTCGCAAAGAAATGAACCCTCGATAGCATAGTGTTGCCCTCAGGCAACAAACCACTTTTTTGGACCTCACACCCCCCCTTTAATAAAAAAAAAAAATAATAATAATATAATAATATATATACAGTGGGTACGGAAAGTATTCAGACCCCCTTAAATTTTTCACTCTTTGTTATATTGCAGCCATGCAGCCAAATCATTTTAAGTTTATATATATATATATATATATATATACATATATCACCTGACATGTCTGTTCAATAAAATTATGGGCTGAAGTGGGTGTAGCCTTTTGTTTGGTGATGGATCATTTTAGGAAGCAAAGCTGCATGGGACACAGTGCCACAAATTGGTAAGATAAATAGCACTGTTTAACATGTTTAAAATTAAATATCTTTATATAAAAAATATATTAATGTGCATCAATATGTAAATAAGTATGTTTGATTATTAAAATACTTTTTTGTTTTTATTTATATATTAAAACTGTTTTTTTTGTTTGTTGCCTCAGGGCAACATTGTGCAGTTGGAGCACTTTTGTTCAGGCAATAGGCCTATCATGCTAAAGTGTGGATGCATTAGAACCATATGGTGCATTCAAGTGCTCCTATGAATTTTATGTTTACAAGCTCTGAAAACTCAAAGAGTTAATGTGCATTATGTGTGTAATTTATATTTATTATTATTATGCTGCCATAGAGAATCAAGCCTATCAGAAGATAAAGTAGAAGAGTAGTGTTTTCTGGCAAACTTTATCTTCACACACACAGTGACACACACACACACACACACACAGACACAGTCATTTTGATGTTGGTTTACAGTACATGGTAATATGTAATATGAGGAACATTTATACATGAAGTGTTGTAATTAGTAGTAGTTTGTTTATTTGATTGTTTGATGTTTTTGGTTGGTTTGGAATAATTTGTGATTGATGTTTATCAAAATAATAACTTTTTCTAATGCATATATTGCTTGTTTTCTTTAATATACATATATAGAAAACCTTGGTGTTTAGTACCCTTATGGCACATTGTTGCCCTGAGGCGACAAATTTTATGATAGATATATTATCAGGGATCCCCAAGCTCCCAAAAAAATTAGGTGAAATATTTTCCCCCCCATGAATAAAAAGTCATGCCATAGAGGGTTAAGGTTTTTGAGGAAAACATTCCAGGATTTTTCTCCATATATTGGACTTCAATGGTGGCCAATGGGCTGAAGGTCCAAATGGCAGTTTCAGTGCAGCTTCAAAGGGCTCAACACGATCCCAGCCGAGGAATAGGGATCTTATCTAGCGAAACGATCAGTCATTTTCTTAAAAAAATAAAAATGCATATACTTTTTAACCACAAATGCTCTAGAACTAGCTCGACTTCACGCTTTCCGTAGTCACATTGGAAAGGTCACACGTGGCGTAGGCAGAAGTACCGAACCAGTGTTCACAAAGCAAACGTGCAAAGAAAGTCACATTCACTTTATAAAAAAATGTAAAACAACGATGTCGATTTTGAAGTTGGAGGTGAAAATGAGATGACGTTTTTTACCATACCCTACCTTTTTGAACCAGAGTACACAGACGAAGAGCTAACCGTGCGTGACCTTTCCAACGTGATTACATAAATGCGTGAATTTGCTGATGCGCATCTGTGGTTAAAAAGTATATACATTTTTTTTAAATGACTGATCATTTCACTAGATAAGACCCCTATTCCTCGGCTGGGATCGTGTTGAGCCCTTTGAAGCTGCACTGAAACTGCCATTTGGACCTTCAACTGGTTGGCCACCATTGAAGTCCATTATATGGAGAAAAATCCTGGAACGTTTTCCTCAAAAACCTTAATTTCTTTGCGACTGAAGACAGAAAGCCATGAACATCAGGAAATAATCAGGAAATTTGTATTCTGGAAGTGAACTAATCCTTTAAGAAAATAAAGCTGAAGGGGGAAAAGTGATTAATGGACACACATGGCAAAACAGGAAGCAAAAGACAGGAATCAAAACAGGACTGCTTCAGCAGGCTGCTAATTTAAGACAATGTATAAGGTCACGAAAGGGAAAAGCATTTCAGAAATGAAAAACATCAGCTATACTCAAGGCTACATGCATGCATACCTTTAAATAACAACAGGAGAGCGGACACATGCAGACATTAAGGGAGTCTAAGAATAACTTTCAAGAGCTCAATATGCATTCAGAATTAATAAAGGGGGAAAAAATAGGCAAGGTAATTTACATTTCTTCCAGTTCACCATTTGCTTACAAGAAGAAGAAAAATCATTCTCCAAGAAGTGACATCATTGTTGGTGGGAAAACAATAAATGTCTTTAACTATTAGCTATATATTTTTATGAAACATATTCAAAAGGCGCTGCATAACTTGTCTAGCACTTACCTTCAGCCATATCAGGAACCTTCCCTGCACATGAAAACTTCCTGCACGTGAAGGACACGGCAGACTTCAGGACCCTACACTCTTAAAAATAAAGGTGCTTCACGATGCCATAGAAGAACCTTTTTGTCTAAATGGTTCCATAAAGAACCTTTAACATCTGAAGAACCTTTCTGTTTCACCAAAGGTTCTTTGTGGTGAAATAAGGTTCTTCAGATTACAAAAAGGTAAGAAAGAGATGGTTCTTTAAAGAAGCTTTGACTGAATGTTTCTTTGTGGAACCAAAAAATGGTTCTTCTATGGCATCGCTTGAAGAACCTTTTGAAGCACCTTTATTTTTAAGTGTATACAGAAGTGAGCTGAAATGAAAATAGAGTCATGAGAGCCTGCTAAGGTTGAAAATGCATTAACAAGAAAATAAGAAACTTTTAGCAGATAAAAAAAAATAAAAACTAGAACACGTGTCTTACAGATACATTCGAGTCAGAAGATACAGATGTAACCCTCACCGTGGACACATTTTATTGTTCTTCTCTCACCACTTTGTAGAACAGCAGGAACTTTCTTCAAATCAAAGACAGATCTGACCTTGCAGACGGTCTCATTTCGCTTCCCGATCCTCCACGCACCGTACTAATTGTTAAGTGCGCACTTTTAACGAACAACAATCAGACGGCCAGTTTCTAGAGGGGCTACTGAGTTTCTAAAGTATTACGGTTTAGAACCTTTTTCCAAGAGATAATTGAGCAATAGAGGTGAAACCTAACATGTTGGTATACAATTACACATGCTCTAGATTGATATATGGGATATATACAAAATAAGTAGGAAAAAACATACTTACTCGCTGTCTCAACGTGACCAAATATAACATATACAGCTACCGATCACACTTGTAATTTCATGAGTTTGTCACTCGGTGGCAGCAACTGTCAGGACAACGCTTGAGATTGCTCACCGACTGTGTCCTCAGTACGTTTTAAACAAATAAAAGAATAGTACAAAATTGTTTAAATGGTACACTCACATGTGATGAAGACTTCAGTCATAAGCACCACAATACAATTTTTACTTTTATTTGTTTATTTTTATTTTACATGGAGCGGGTCGCCTCACGGGGACCACAGTTTAGATCACATGACCAGACAAATAGCATTGGACACTTTCGCTCATGGAATAAATAAAGAGAGAATACACATCTGCAATGTGCATTACACATAAGGCAAATGTTAGTCCACTAATACGGATGTAAATAAGCATATTTAATGTTCTGTATTTATAAGAAACAAACAAGAATACTCATACAAACGTAAAATAATATAAGTATTTTAAAAATAAATGATGGTAAACATATTTTGTGAACAAAAACATTGAAAAGGCATGCATTCGTTGGCCATTCCGGTACAGGTAGTGTCTACATGAAAGGCATTATAAATCTCCCTGAACCTACCTACTTCCATATCATTTTTTTTTTTACACGTTAACTTCTTACAGAGTCCATTCTAGGTTCACACTACCATCTTTTGCAAAGGTCCATGGTTGTTTGTTGCATTTAAAATAATAATGCAAAAACGGATGTTTATATACAAGCCAATTTGTCAGCATTCTGAAACATATGCAGATATAACAGCAAAACCTGATTCTTATTCATACTGTGCGCTCTTAACCAAATGTGTTAGGTAAAGTTTTTGGAGTGTTTGGTGAGGCAGTGCTCTCATAATTTGATCTCAAGTTTCAGATCTCCTTGTTTCCTTTTAAGGAGATCAAGGAAGGAAGACGGGACTTATTCTTAGAATTTGTGCAGATACTGTATATCATTTTCCAAGGTACCAGTTGTTCATGAATCACTTTGACTGCATTCAGATCAGTAACAGTACAACCAAAATCACTTAGTTTAAGAGTTTTGTCATATCTCCTTATGAATGGCATTGTAGTGCAAACAGAACATGGTCTGTTATAAGTCTTAATGACTAAATAGGTTCAATATTACCACAATCAAGATGCAAAAAAAAAAAACAACAACAAAAAACAACACCTTTCACTGCAAAACCATTTCACTAAATGCTCCTCTCCCACTCTAAGTTTAAAATTGTGAAAAATAATATTTTACATTTATGTAAAATGCAGCGAACAATAAAAAAAATATTGTGAATATAAAATGAACAGAACTAAAATATTTAACGTTTCATCCCGGCACATCCCAGATGCTCAACCTTGGCTCCTCATGGTCTCATCAAAGTGCCTCTTTCCATCCAGGTAAAGCATAGACTCTGCAAATGGCAACAATATTAATTTACAGGTAATACTATTAAAATACAAAGTAACAATATTTGTAAAAATCTGTATCTAACCTCCATAGCTCTGTGGTACAACAGCTGGGATATCCTTCTCAACGCAAAAAGTGAAGTGAAATACGTTTGTGGTGCTGTGTTGCCGGGACAATGGGTCAAGCACCTCTGTGTGAACCCTGACCTGGATGTGCAACCCTTCTGTGTAACAAACCTGACACCACAGTATTATCATCAATCTTATTCTGAAGGGAAAAAATGGCTACAAATGAATGCATTTAACAATTTAGAAACCTGTGAGGACAGCAATAGCAAAGAGCCAATTTCTACTGGCTTTCGAAATACGATGTCATCTACAGCCACCAGCGTTGGTCTGCAACCACTGAAATATACAAATACAGCCATGTAAAGGAATGGAAAGACTTCTTTACAGTAAATATTCAATAGATAGCAAAGGGGAATCTCTTACGCAAATGCACAGGCATTCGCCCAACCAAGTTCATAGGCTTTTCTCATCAAAAAACCACCAAATATACGGTTAAAGATATTTCTTTCCTGTATAATGTAAAGAATAAAGAAAGTCAGTGCACATTACGAAAATGTACTAATTGACACTGTCAGTTTCATCGATTAAGTATTGCAAAAAATACTTACTTGTGGATGGCAAATCTCAAGCCCTTTCATTTTGGCATCTTCCATCCACACTGAGTTAGGTGATAAAATACGACTCCGAAAGCTGACAGTTCTATAGGAAGAAGGTAAATATTGTTAAAGAAATGGGCAAAAAAATAAAGGCACAGATTTACAACTGTGTAGTGTTAATAAATCTGACCGGGTGTCTAGAGTGTTGAGGAACAGGTTGTGAATGAGAGTCCTCTCCTCAGCTGCAGGGGCCACTTTCAGAAGAGAGGCTGTGCTCAGCTCCACACGCCTCGTCTTGTTAACTGATCAATATAAAAAGCATCGGTCTTGCTCTAAATGCTTCAAATTGAAGTAGCAATTGTGATTACAAACAAACAAAAGCGCTACTCACTCTCTCCTTGTTGAAAAATGGCCTTTTCCTCTGGACTCTCTAGTTTTAGTGGGTTTATAAAAGCTGCCCTGGATAAACAGTACACATTTACAGACACAATTCAGCAATCATAGATTTGTCGATCATACCAACAGGTTTAACGTTACCTTTTGTTGTCAGGATCTCGAGCCACCATTACAAATGTGGCATCTAATACATCGGTGTATGCCCCATCATGATACTGTGAAAATGTTTCGTTTAAGTTCAATGACACTTTTATGTGCAACATATAATACATGTTTCATAAACAGACTTTAGGAATACCTGAGACACATGCATTTTAGCTTCTATTGAGGTTTTGCCAACCCACGTCACATGACCCGTGAACTTAATGTCACAGTCGGGGTAGATGATGTTTTTTCTCATGTCTGTGAAGTAATAAAACTAAATTTAATGAATCAATTTAACAACCAAAAAAAAAAAAAAAGTCTAATTCAAGAAGTAATACCAATCTTGTCCACTAGGGCGGTGACGATAGACAGTGGAGATCTTTTCAGCTCCTTATTCCATGTGTGAGAATAACAGATGAGCACTAAGAGACAAGATGAGACGGTATGTGATAAGACAGAGCAAATTATGATCAGCCAATACTGCTGTCATTATCTACATTGCCTATTTAAAAAATAAAGGTTCTTTATTGGCATCTAAGATCAAATGAAGAACCTTTAACATCCATGAAACCCTTCCATTGCACAAGAGGTTACACTGAGAAAAATGGTTCTTTTAAGAAATGTTCACTGAAAAGGTATTTGAGGAACATAAAATGGTTCTTTAATGGCATCACTGTGAAAACCCGCTTTCAGAACCTATATTTTGAAGATGTATTTATTACCAGCTAAACTGTCCAAGTCCTCCAAAATCCTTCCAAACCTGTTGAGAAAAGGGTATTTAAGCAAAAGAAAATGTACTCGGATCAGAATGAATATTCAAAAATGACTGGCTGTGAAGTTTGATATTTCTGAATGCCACGATTATGACAAAAATTATAATTGTCGATTATTCCCTTTAAATTGTAATTGTAAATTGTGATAATTGTAATAAATAATTGCACTGAATGATCTTTTGAATAGTTTTGTCACATTTTTTTATTAAAATAAACAAGCTGAAAACACTCTTCCTGAAAAACTTTTATTGCTTTTCTATAGTATTAAGGCTCAAATGTCAACTATACATTGTTTTTCTTCTTTAAATAAAAAAGTAAAAACCATGCATGGTATTATTATGTTATACTAAAACTAAAATTAAAACAATGGAAAACCCTTAAGATAACCTGTAGAAAGAAAACAAACACTCAGAACAATGTAAGTGGACTTTTTTTTTTGTACTTGCTCCTTTGAACGATTACATAATTGTGGCATCTGTAATTGTAATCACAATTAATAATTAAAGTAATTGTGCAGCTCTACTGCAGGTGAGAAGTGGTGGTCTTTTAGCACCTGACACTGTTGTGATAGTTGAGGTATTTCTCTCTCAAGGCAGGCTGGGAACCCAGAGGAAGATGCGCCTCAACTGCACTGTCCTTCATTGTCTTTGCTGGAAGTTCATCTTGACTCTGAGCAAGATACTGGCTTAGTGATGTACGCTCAGCTAATGCTTGCTGATGATCTCTGTACATCAAAATTGAGAAAATACAACATTTTATGCAAAGTGGTAACATTCTGCAGAAGGAATAACATATAAAAGTGCAAATACAGTAACATACTTCCAGTTGGTGGACGCTCCAACTATCTCCCGCAGCCTGTTGCGAACTGGGAAAATAAGGAGGAACAAAATGGAGCTTTAAATATGTACCGAGACATCACATAATGTATGTACTTAAGAGTAGTGTTGGAATGAAAAGCAAAGCAGCATTTGTATCACCCCATAATATAATATGGAGACACAGAAAAAAACTAGTCAGCAGAAACAATGTATTAGAAAGGAACCAAGACTAGTCTGCATGAACAGGCCGCTCACAGGGTGAAGGCATTTGAAGAAAAAAACACTAGATGTTAAAGTACAAAGAACTTCATGCACACAAACCATGAAATAACAGCAGGACAGTGTTTATTAAGCAACATGAGAAGAGACTTTCTGAGAATATCAAAAAGAGAGTAAATGTTCTTTCATTTTACCATTGCTCACAAGTAAAAATGTGTTTCCTGTGGGGACATAAAAATGGGTCAGGAACACACACTGATGGGAAATTATTATAATGATTACAGTGTATATATAATAATAATAATTAGGCAATAATTTCATGTGAATTATGAGAAGGAAAGTAAGCGCTCAAAGTTTCACCGTGATAACTAGTACACACACTGACAATATTTCATTGCCTTAGATTGACTAGGTTAAAAGTGTTGGGTGGGTTAGGAGTTAAACCTTTTATTTATGAATTGTTTAAATAATTACCCTCAGCCATATCTGCTGCTTTCCCTTGTCGGCACATCTGACCAAACCCTCTGCACATGAAGGATGATGCAGACTTCAGGACCCTTTACATAAAGCAAAGACATGGGAGGAGAGAGCTGACTTGAAAAATGTACTTCACAAAACTGCTAATGGTAAAATCACAAAAGTATGAAACCCTTAATTAAAGAAACTATGTATAAAAAAAAAGGTCCTATTGAGAGACCAGGCTGGTCTGGAATCCTTCATGCATGAAATGATGAGTTCACAACAAATGCGTGACGCAAGACAGAACTGTAAAACTCACCGCGGAGAAAACATCTTCCTTGTTCTTGTCTCGCCACTTTATTGTATAACAACAATGATTTCGTGAGACATACAACAGCTCGCTTCTTGCATAAATGACAAATTTCTTAACTGAGTGATTTTCACTTCCTGGAACGCAGGCGCGGCCGGTCTACCGTACTAACCGTTTTAAAGGCGCATTTAAAAGATTTCGTCCTCACTAACCGGCCAACTTCTACCGTAATTACGGCCGTTATGTTTTGGAAGTTTTCAATGTTGTCAGAGAGACATAAAAATGCTAAAATGTGGTCTTAAAACAAAATTTTACATGGATTTACACGTCTTCTACAGTATTCAGGAGGAAATGTCCTTCAAACGAACTACATTTCAGTAGAAAATACATACATTCCTATAGTGATATTCTATAGTGATAGTTATTACGGTAACCAGACCCCTCCCCCACCGGCAAATATATGCCCGAGTTGATAAACATACATTTACTAAAGCCAGGTGAACACAGTGGGGTCAGCTGCTGCATGCGATTCCCATCCAGGAGAAGCCCAAACTTGACAGCGGAGGGTAATATTCTGGGAAGCGAATGAAGAAACACCTTTTGCTTCTCTTCACATATAGAGGACTAGTGAGAAAAGGGAAAAAGAGTAACAGAAGAAAATGTCCAATTTTCATTTGCGTAAAGCGGAGCCAAAAGACGTGCCTGACATATTGCGACTCATAAAGGTAGATTTCACACCGGTTTAATTGCATGTGTAGCCTATATTTGAAGTACATTATTTAGGGTAGCAGAATATGCTGTAGAAACTTTTAAAAAGTGTATAAATATACCTTAAAATTAGTTTATTTGGTGTGTTGTCCCATGTTATAATATTAAAAGTTAATGTCACACCTATTATGATTTTATTTTAATGTTCAATTATTTCAAAAGGTCTCATGATATTGATAGAGTATCCAAATATGACCCTGCATGAAAACAAGCCCACAGGACTTTCAAACAAGTTGAAGTTCAAACAGCATTCATTTCTGCCTTCTAAAGGAACTCGCCAAGTATGAAGAAATGGAAGACCAAGTTATATTAACTGAGAAAGGTGAAATTACATAATGTATCAAATGTTAAATTTGGTAAGTAGATGGCCTGGAGTGACAACAAAAGTTCTGTTTAGATCTGCTCGATGACGGATTCGGAGATCACCCGTTTTACCACTGTGTGATCGCAGACGTGCCAGCCGAGCATCAGAAAGTCGAGGGTAAATATCAAGACAAAGATGATCTTTAGTGAACTTCAACCTGTTGAATAGCGATATAGACTACCTGTTTATAGGTAGACCAATAGAAACAAAATGTGATGTTGAACGTTTTATCATGTCTTTTTTTTTTAAATATATATTCTTACTTTCATGCATAAGCATGTAATGTAAAGTAATGCATTTGTGTAAGACACCAGTGTTCACTTACAGGTTATTCTGTGATTGGATTTGCCATGTACTACTTCACCTATGACCCTTGGATTGGCAAACTGCTGTACCTTGAAGATTTTTTATGTAATGAAAGAGTACAGAGGTAAGGGTGTGTTATTAAGGTGTCTTATGAAACTAGTTGCTTCCTAAATTCCCTTGGACCAGTTTCATGCTTCACAGGTTTTGGAATTGGGTCTGAAATCCTGAAAACCCTCAGTGATGTAAGCCATCCTGTTTACATTTGTTGTATGTGCAGTTTGCATCATTAAAGACAAAGATGGATACAAAACTGTGTAATTCCTGACACAAAATTAGTTTAAGCAAGTAGTTTCAAACTCAAAATAGACCACAGAAATGTGTTTTATGTTGTCTTTAAATGATTTTATGCATTACACATCTAGACGCAACCATAAACAGTTCTGTTTCCACCTGCAGACAGCCGTGAAGAATCGGTGCAGCAGCATGCATTTCATCGTGGCTGAGTCCAACAAAGCATCCATTGACTTTTACAAGCGACGTGGGGCTTCCGACCTCTCGCTGCAGGAGGGATGGCGACTTTTCAGGATCGATAAGGAGAATCTCCTGAAAATGTCTGCCTATGAGTGAGCTGTGCCGGAGTTCAAGTGTTCAAGGAGAGACTAGGGATGGCTTACAACCATTGTTTAGTTTAAATAATACTTTAATCCTTACATAAAATGCATTTAAATACACTGTGGGTATTAATCATATTAATAAACAGCAATTTACTCTGAGATGACGTTACAGTGCTTGTATTTATCCTTATATTTCAATCATATTCTGTAGTTTGTATGTCAGAGTATATTACGAATAGTCTTTTATTTGTATCCAATTTAATGCACAAAAAATAAAAAAAAAGGAAAGGAAAAAGTCATGTCTTGTATTTGATTATATGCAGGGCCGTTGCTAGTGGGGTGAAAGGTGGTGACAATTATAGGGGACCCCCAATGCCCAAGGGTCCCACTAAATCCAGTAGTAATGCTATATATTCCACTACTCTTATATGAATCATTTTAGGATATATATTACAAAGTCAGCTTGTATGCCTGAGAGTTTAATGAAAACCTCTAAAACATGTAATTTAGTTAAAAATGCTTTCCAAATATCTCCTCTCTCCCCTCCATAAAAATGGTTTAGTGTGATGTTAATTATTTCAGCTCAGTCAGCTACAAAAATGAGAGGGACCCAACAAAATCGCAAGACCCACCTCAGCTAGTGAAAAGAACCAATCAGAGTTCAGGCTGATCCGAGAACAGTTGAAGTTACAAGTAAAGCTACAGTGGAAATGAGACTGACTGAAAATGCTGGGTACCAGTAACGTCATGTAAAGGAGAGGGAGACCAGAAGGAGAACAGTTCTTTTGCAAGACAAGTTAGTGCACTGTAGGGATGTCGTTGTGATTGGACGCCGTGCACCTGATCATTTCGCTGCCCGATTTACTTTTGCAGGAATAGGACACCTAAGAGCTGCTGCCCGCGCTGTCATGCCGGTACATCTCATTATACTGGAGCTCACCGGCCGAACGATTGCACGAGTTCACATGGATTGTTTCAGACGTGATAGCCTATATTTAAGATAACAACACCATTGAGAAAAAAAGTAGTAAATTAAAAACCGCAAATACAACTCACTGCTCTGATGGACACATTTATTAACTTTATTTAATAAAATATTATGCAGTAGCATGTTATCTTCATCAAAAATGAAGACAATGATCATTTTAAGTGGTTTTATTTTACATGTGACTGCATTCTTTCACATTCCTGAAAATTTACCTCACCTGTTAGGGGGCCCGCATCAATATTTTTTCAGGGGGCCCAGAATTCCCTAGCTACGGCCCTAATTATATGCATAAGTTAACACCTTCAGGCTTTCCTCCCAGTCATAGTGGTCAAAGTCATAGTGATAAAAACACAGACGACTATCTGCACTGAATAGTGAATGACCACAGAATGCACTGTATAACTTTCCTGGAGAATACTGTACTTTGCAGAAGTCACTGAGTTGTTGAAAAATGTCTGGAATTTTCAGTGCAAGTCAGGTGTGGAAGCACTCTTTTTCAGGTTGGTCCAACTGCTTACTGCTGCAGTGTACATTTATGTGCAAAAGTACATTTATACAGTGCACAGAAAACAAATATACAGTCCCAGTAAACACGACCAACATAATAATATAGCAAATGCCAAACTGATCAGTGCACTGATAAGAGAACAGAATCCAGGTGCAAAGCAGGAACTCCTAATAAAACTTACTGCTGTGTCAACTTGATTTTTGGCTGGCTGTTTTCTGTGTCTTCTCAACCTAGAAAGAAAAAGGTAAAAGTTTACAGAGCAGCAAAAGTGTTTATTTTTACAACTTCTAGGATGATCTTAATGTTAAATAAATCATCACACAACTTTTCAACATTGACGACAAAAAATAAAATAAAAAAGTTTCTTAAGCTCCAAATCAGCACATTAGAATGATTTCTGAAAGGTCATGTAACACTAAAGACTGGAATATTTTAAATTATTTCACAATATTACTGTTTCACAGTGTTTTTAATTAGATGAACGCAGCTTTGATAAGCATAAGATTATTTCAAAAACACAGAAAGAAAATCTTACCAAGCCCATACTTTTGAACAATAGTTTATGTTTCTGAAGGTTTCTTCTGCAATGTGTCATAGTAAGGCAAATAAACCTTTTCATTTAAGACATTTGGAGTGAATCTGCTCAAGACATTTGCACTGTATGAACTGTCTTGGAAGCGGAAAAAACTTGTACAACACTGTGCCGAGTATCATATTTCTCCTCACTTTGTCCTTGGATGATGATTTCCCTCTCAGTAGCTCCACCAAAACAACTCGCCCTTCTGAACCCCAGGAAAATATGCAGTGTTTTGTGGTCTATTAAAAGAAAAAAAAAGAAAAAAAACATTAATTTTGAAAATCAAAACAAAACAGTCATTCATACTACCAATCATCAGTGGACTAACGTCTGATATTTACAGGTGCATCTCAATAAATTAGAATTGGTGGGTTTTTGTTAAATGTGAGCCAAAATCATCACAATTAAAAGAACCAAAGACTTAAACTACTTCAGTCTGTGTGCATTGAATTTATTTAATACACGAGTTTCACAATTTGAGTTGAATTACTGAAATAAATGAACTTTTCCACGACATTCTAATTTATTGAGATGCACCTGTAAATTTGGTAAAATCTGTGAAAAACATTAAAACATGCTCATTAGTCTTCATCTAATTTTCAGTGCTTTTCCTGTGCGGCAGGGAGTAGTCTATTCACTTTATTTGACTGAGCTGATCCATGGAAAAATTCTCAAAATATCCCACCACTTTCTAGTTTTGCACTTATAGACAGCCCCACAGGAAAAAAGAGGAAGGAACACTGACTATCTGAACACACAATTCACAGACTGAATTTCCTCCAGACAAGTGCTGTTAACATTCCAGGACACAAGTACAGTAGTTGATACTACATTATTCAAAACCTCAGTTACTGCTGTCTGTACTGGACAGCCTGATGAGAAACAACAACTGACTCTGTCCATCTGAACAGAAAAGAACTGTAAACTTGCCCTGGCAACAGAAGCGGCATGCTGTGGGTAGAACATGGAGGCGCTCAGAGCCATCAGCCCAGTGGGGAACATCAGCATCCTGACTCTGCTGCCTGTCGGGACAAAACACAACAAAGAGAACCAAAACAGTTGTTAATAATAACACAAAACAGATGTTAGAGGTCAAAGACCTTATGAGCAAAATTGAACGAATAATAACGGAATATTTGATATATTATGTAATTTCATAATAATGGAGCAATAATCATACCTTTTGCTAAATAAAGTCCCAGAATTCCAGAGAATCCTATAACACCCACAGTGGCATAGAACTCAGATGGAGGGTCATTCAAAAATGCATACATATCTGAGAAAAAAGAAATGCAATGCCGTTTCGTATAACCATGGAAATGTTTCGAGAAAAACAGTGTAAAAACAAAAAAGTAAAAATAAATAAACAATAAAAAAGTAGATTTGAATAAAAAAAAAGAAGCTCGAAATACATAAAAAATAGATTAAAATAAAACTTTGATATAATAAATAAATAACAAAAGCATTAAAAATAATCCTAAAACAAATTTAAAAACAGATAAATAGATTAAGTAAATTTAAATAAATAAATAATACACATTTGATTAAAATAAACAAATAAAAATACATAACACTACAGCATTATACGGACTATAAAAACTTATAAATCTAATTCAATTATTAATTCATATTTATTTTTGACATTATAAATTGGGTCTTTGTACATAGAAATCTATAGCTGCATTCTAAACTTAATGATAGGAGTCCTTCACATGAGTATGATTACATATGGGGGTCTGTGGCATCAAAAATGGAAAACCCCTGGTATAGATGAGTGTATGTTTGTGTCCGTACCTTTTACAATACTATGGGTGGTATTCACACCAGGCTCAACTGTCTTGTAGTAAGACTATGATTGAAAGAGAGAAACATTAAGGTATAAGAGATATTACAGATTAATTCAGTATCACAGTGATGAATTATGAGCATAATGATTGTGAAGTGGCTCGAAATGAACATAACTTGCCTGTACTTTCTCCACGGCAAAATGTGTATTTTCCTAGAGGTGGAAAAGAATCATAACGAAATCATGAAAACCATAAACTAAACATTATGATAATGCATAAAATATGGAAAAGACACACATGTATTATACGTATAACATCTTATGTGTCTGTGTTGAGTACACTGTGTTAACAAATTCTGCATTTCTAAAAGTCATGATTTTCTTTTGAATCACTTCACTGAGCACTGTCAGTACAACAGCATACCTGACACCATGAAACATAAGGTTCCACTGTCTTCCTCAGAGATGCTACACCCTGTTCAACAGTACCGACCTCGGGCTCCTCGTACCTCAGCTGGGTCTCAGGTGTGTCATAGAGTGAAAGCTGTCAAATATAGGGGTATTGTAAAAACCCTTCAACATCATGCCAATGACCTCCTCGTTCTACCCCACAAAAACCCAAAACACAGTGCACAGGAAGTACCTCATTAGTCATTAGAGTGGTGTTATTTTCTTTGGCCTGGCTTGCAGCAAAAACAGTGGCAGACATCAGGCCAAGGGCTCCGGGCACTGCCATGGGCAGCACCACCTCAACAAGGAAGGGCAGAGAAAACAAACATGAAACACGCCATAATGACCTTAGAAACAATGCAAACGATGTATTCATCTATTATGTACAAGTACTAGACAACTGAAATTACCAAACAGCATTACAAGGGAGCAAAAACAAACACAAAGGCATATGAGTTGCACTAAAACATCAGTTTCACAATGATTCAAGATGAGGCACATCACTCTCAGAAGAGAATTTTCTAGAATTCCAGACATAATATAATTCATGAGAAAACGACAATATTATAGTATCATGAGGCAAAATAAAATGTAAAAAAATATATATAATAATATAAAAATACAAAAACACTATCAGGTCAATACCTGGGAACACACATACTGGTAAAAAATGTATAGCCTGGATGCACTGTAAGTCGCTTTGGATAAAAGCGTCTGCTAAATGCATAATATACTAAATGACTAATAAGCTCCAGTTAGCTTAGCTACATCACTGCTGCCACTCTATGCGCATCCTTAAAACAAACGCTTTACTGTATAATCTCAGCTTTCTTATTATGCATAATTATCTAAATTAATTACAAACAAAAATACAACCGTACTTCCATAATTTGAATTTATGTAATGAAAAAAAGAGTATCTTTTACCTTGGCTAGTGTCCCAAGATTTGGCATGATTTTTTTCTTGAGAACAACGTTCTTCTGCTACGGCAAGGCTGCGGGGATAAACTTCTCAGCGACGTGTGAATATTTCGAAACGATTTTGTAAAGAATAATGAATCTCACATTCTCTTAGTTGTTGATCAAAGCATTATTACCTGGGCCGTATTAAAAATGAGATGTTACGGTTTTCATATCTTTTGTGTCCCTCGTGTGTAATGACTTGAATAATGTTGTTATTGTAACACTAAAACTATTAAACTTTATTTAAATAAAGGTGATGTAAAATAAAATATAAAAGTCAGATGAAAAACTTTGAAAATCAAATATGTTGCCTTGACAACTAACTAATATAAGTTTAAGTATTACAATTCTTACTATTATAAAATTACTATTATCAAAACTAAAGCTGAAATAAAAATAAATTAAAGCAAAATATTAATATTTAAATTACAAAAGCACATAACAAAATTACTAAAACTATATATATATATATATAATTATAAATATGAATAAATACTAATAGTATTTAGAGAACATTAAAATAACACTGGAACAATGAAGCTCACACCCGCATGCATTTTCTTAACACATCAACAAAATTTCAGTAACTTCATTTTAATTCAAAATGTTATTAATTTATTAACACTTAAAGACATAATTTGTCTGATGCTTAAATATAAATGTACTTAAAATGATTTTATTAATTGGAAAAGGCACTTCAAAACTTAATCAGCATAGACATATAAATAACTACAATTACATTCATGACCTGAGAAATAGCCTACATACAAGAACTAAAGCACAAAGTCATTTCATTTGTAATTTAATATTTCTTCCTTGTGTGTTTAATGGAGAGAAAAATATCAATAGACATACTTAAAAAGCAAGAGAGACCTAACAAACAATCAATAAGTAACTGGTGGTGGCACAATCTCAACATCTTTTGGAGTGAGTGGAGAATGAAGAACAATTCCAAACTTTTCTCTCAACAACTCTGTGATTTCCTCATCTGAAAGATCTGCTGTGGTTTGTGTAGCTTGTTGTCCATCCACTGAGGACAGACTGGTAATAATCGGTCTGCGGCCCCTGACTGTGAATCTTCCAGTGGGCAGTAAGAGTGAACACAGAGACTTGCAGAAGAAAATCGAGCCAGCAGAACTCTGATGGTCATCATACATGGCTCTGAAATCATCTCTTTCTCGTGGCTCCAGGGTGAATTTGTACAGTTCCGTCTAACATTCTTCTCCAACCCCTGATACTTCAGTCTCAGAATTCATTTCCATGAAAATGAAGTTTCCCTGAGATCTGAGGCGATACACTCCGTGGCTCTTGAGGACTGTCGGTCTCAAGAGAGAGAGGGAGCTGTTATCCGGATCCGAACCCTACACCACAGAGCCATCTGTGTCCCTCCAGCCTCACCATCATGATGAAGTGGTCAAACGGAGGCCCGTAAGCACCGGTGAACCGATTCCTGGCCTGTGCGGAGAGAATAGTCACGTCGAAGCCCCTCTGAGACAGAAGCCACGAGAAGAGCCCATTATTCTCATAGCAGAATCCTCCACGGCGCACGACGACGATTTTTTTTCATATAAAAGTGGCAACTCAAGCCTGACCCGCTCTCCGATATGAATGGTGAGACTCTCAAAGGGAACACTGTTATAAAGTGATTCAGGTGAACGTATCGCAATGTCTCCAATGTCAGAGGACATGGTCCCGAACAGCCGATACGTGCCAAATATTTTTCAACATCCATTGTTTTGCAAAGACCTCAGGCATGTAGTTGCTGGTTAGTTAGGCTAAGAAAACTGTAACCCAAATACAGCTGAACACAGCTACCAGGAACAAACGACATGAAGCTTTACACGACCTTTAAGCATAGGCTGTGAACGCGGACTGTACTTTCTCGGAAGTCCAAGTCTTGTGCTCATGAAAATTTATAAGGACATGAAACTTTCGCATCAATCCTTTATTACCTGTTTGCTATGTTTGTAGAAAACGATTAAAAGTATATTGCAAATATACCAAATGGGAAAAAAAGTTGATTTTAAACAAATGTAGACGTTAATGGAGCTGTTCCGCTTTTAAGTGTTGCCAGATATCGCAAGAGCAACTCAGTTAAAAACAAAACAAAACAAAACCAAAATGAGCGATTGTTTAAAAATTTTTTTTTTTTAGAAATATTAGATAATAAAACAATAATAAATCGAGGCTAAACTTTTCAAAATAATTTATTTTCAATAGTATTTTTTCCTTTCACAAAACATTAACATTATAATTAACATTAATAATTTTCCACACAGTCATCGATTAAAATATCTCTCAAGCAAAAGCATCAGATTAACGCATCATTGGATGAGGAGCCAAGCAATAGCAAACCCAAAAACCGTTTTAAAAAAAAGTATTTATTTATTTTTAAATAATCAACCATCCACTTTGCTATTTATAAGCGGAAAAAACAAGCGACTAGATTCAATGGACATGGCAACAAAAGCTCTAGTTTACGCCCTCTTTGCTGGCATTGGCCAATCAGATCTCGGATGACTTTTTGGTTTCTAGGTGATGCTTACAAACAACCCGTTGCTATGAAAAACACAGAGATGCAAGTCGCTGTTGTCTTATAAGATGGCAAAATAGTAAATATTATACTGTACTATATAGTATACATATGGTACCATATACGTTTATATTAGACCACATTTACAAAGAAGGACTTAACTACAATTCTGTATTTAAAATAACCTTAAAACGGTAGGTAGGTGTTTAGATTAAATGCTATTTAGTTCAACTTGAAAATTTAAGAAACAAAATGTTCTAGTCATGTAACGTTAGGCTATTAGTGTGTAGCTCTGGAAAAGATGCTGACTGAGCCATTTTTTCGTATTGCATGTATTGAATGATATTCTGACTTCCCAATGTCTTTTTGTGCTCTTTTGTGTTCACCTTCTTCCTGGCATTATCTTAAAATACAAGCTAAAGTGATGCCTCCTCCTGAAACAATGTACTGCGCCCAGCAGATCAACATCCCTCCAGAGCTGCCTGATATTTTAAAGCAGTTCACAAAAGCTGCAATCAAGACACAGCCACATGATGTGCTGCAATGGGCAGCTGAGTACGTTAAGTGTTGCTTTTTTAAGAAGTGTACTATGATACTGCATTAGATTGGCATTATATATAATGTATGTTTTATATGGCAATGGAAATATAATAAAGACAAATAACAACAATAAAACTGCTTTCTCTTTCAGCTATTTTTCAGCATTATCAAAAGGTCAGGACCTACCAGTCAAGGAGAGGCTTGAAATGCCAGTGGCAACTCAGAAAGCAGACACAGGGCTTACACCAGACCTTCTAAAGATCCTTCATCAACAGGTGTGATCCACTGTACCTCTTTTGTATGTTTTATACACAGTACAGCAGATGCATTTTTATGAATATTAATGAAATTTCTCTTGCATGTAGTTTGCACCAAAAGAAATCATTACAAAAGAGGAGCTTCTTCAGAAGTGGAAAGACCTGTGCTTACCTATTGAACAGCTTGACACAATCCTTGCTCTTGGCAACTTCAGTGAAAATATAACTTGGATGCAGTTTTTTGCTTTAGGATGCAGTGCTTTGGGTGGGGTGAGTGGCTATAAATATCTAACTGTGTATTTAACAGTACATTAAAGGAATTGTTCATCCAAAAATGAAAATTTGTTGGAAATTAACTCACCCTCAGGCCATCCAAGATGTAGACGAGTTTGTTTCCTCATCGGAAGAGAAATTTAGCATTACATCACTTGCTCACCAATAGGTCCTCTGCAGTGAATGGGTGCCATCAGAATTAGAGTTCAAACAGCTGAAAAAACATTACAGTAATCCACAATTAATCTGTGGGACTCCAGTCCATCATTAAGGCATTTAAACCATAATTTCTGGCCAAAATATGAGCTCATAATCCATAATTATGGAGTTATGGAATCAACGGTTTGAAGTTAAAATGCCTTGATGGATTTGTATATTTAAAACATGCAGCTTTTCATCTCACAAGACATTAAATGATGCACTTTAGCCGTGTTGATTACTTATGTTTTTATCAGCTTTTCTCATTCTGACGGCACCCATTCACTGCAGAGGATCCACTGGTGTGCAGGTGATGTAATGCTAAATCGATCCAAATCTGTTCTGATGAAAAAACAAACTCATCAACATCTTGGATGGCCTGAGGGTGAGTAAAATTTCAGTAGATTTTATAAATAATTTTTGGGAGAACTATTCCTTTAATTATATTGTGTGGTGGTGGCTTCATTTGAGATGTTGTAAATGTAATTCTACTAACTGGCTCCAGATGGTAGTGTTGGATTTTAAATGGTTTCCAATTTCAAGGTGTTGAACAAGAACTAGATTCACACAGACGATGATACACACACACAATGATAGGTGTAAATCATTCAAAGTTTGCTAAACAATGTCGAAAATTTATGTTTTGAAAGAATGTCTACTGTACTTTTCCCACAGACCATCACAAGTGCTTTGAAACACGTATGTGAAATACTCACAGAGGACCCTGAGGGTGGAGCAGCCCAGATTCCTTTTGACACATTTCAGAGTCTGTACACATACTTGGCACATCTGGATGGAGAAATTCCTAATGAACAGATCGACAGCTTCTTGCATAGTTTAGAGGAGTATGCGTGAGTACACACGAATGCATTCAGCTTAATTTACCGCAAAACACTGTCTTAAAGTCGTAAAACAAATTTAAAGTATTATTTTTAATGCTACTAGTTTAATGGTTAATATATTTTTTCATATTACCCTGGAAAAAAACTAAAGAAAAATTGTATGATCAAAGGTGCCCAATTGTGGAGCAAAAAATGTGAAATACTCAATCATTCTGACAGCAGATCGTTTGAGACTAAATGAGCAATAAGAGGCTTTATTGAACGAAATAGACACATTTTTGAAGGTGACAATTTCTTTTCTGTTTCCCTTTGTTGCCAAAGAGGTCTTTTAGGAGGACAAGTGATAAGGAATAAAATTAATGGCTTTGACATTGCTCCTTGAGGCATCTTCAAGACTTTTTTGTTAGAATTTACACCTGTGAAAATACAAAGCCTTCTGTTGTTTCTTTCTTTGAACCAAAAAAAAGTGTTCTATATTCAAAACTACTTCAAACAATAATTGAGAAGGTACGGACATGATTTAAAACATCACGTGATGTAATAATTGCATAATACAAGACAAAAATCTGAACCATTATTTTCTTTACACGTAAGACAATTCAGTCTATAACTGCAGAAACAATACCAGAAATGATCATTGCACTATAAGAATTTGTGTCCTGTGGGTGGTTTTGTTGTCATACTTTACCAGCACACCAACAGCAATCATCTTTATAAGTTGCATTCAAAGAAACATGATTTTATCCCCTGTATTCTATTTTAGCTAAATGTTTTTAAGACATTTTAACTCAGTTCAACAGCTTAGCACATATAGTCTATTTATCTATTTTACTATTAAAGACGTCATATGATGTTGCTAAAAAGAACATTATTTTGTGTATTGGGTGTAATGAAATGTGTTTATGCGGTTTAAGTTGCCCCGCCTTTCTGAAACGCGTCGATTTTTACAAAGCTCATCGGTCTGAAAAGCGAGGTGTGCTGTGATTGGCCAGCTATCCAGTGCGTTGTGATTGGCTGAATACCTCAAGCGTGTGACGGAAATGTTACGCCCCTTACCATATTGTGATGCCGTGTCCCAGCCTGAGCGACGAGACAAAAACATTAAAACCCATTATAAACAAGACATTTGTTGCATCCAGTGGGGACATAATTACGGATTATAAAGACTTATACTGTCTTTTTACGCATTGCATTGCACTGCACCGCGTAATCATAAAACTCTGTCTGCATTTGTGATCGGAGAAATGACAAACAACAAGCCCTACTCTACACTGCCCAAAAAACTCGCTTTAAATATAAAAATATAAAAACTCTTTAAATATAAAAAAACGTACTTACAGTCTTTGAGTCAGAACAGCCGGCACTGTAGTCTACTCTTCCAGGATCAGGAAACAGTCCTCCATAAAATGTGCTGCACACATCTGAATATTTGGGTTGAAGTGTTCTGGAACAGTGTTGTAAATACAACTTAACCACTGATTTCTAGTCGTGTCCATTTTTGGAAGACCAAACAAAGTAGTTTCGCTTTCACAATGAAACACAGCGTCACACACGGTGGCCTAGAGTGAGCGGCGGCGGCCTACAGTGAGTAGAGCAGAGGCGGCGGGCTTGAGAACGGCGCGGCTGGCAGATTTGACGAAGGAGCGTCCGGAGGGCTTGCGGCAACTACATGTGACGACCCCGGGCTGGACTCCACTACATCCACAGTGAAAGCCGATCCGGTGATCCACAGCGCAAAGTTATTGTATTTCCTCAGCGACCAGCACGGATCAGCTCTAGGCATGACGAAGCAGATATCGTCCTCTTTTGGAAGGCCAAACAAAGTAGTTTCACTTTCACAACGAATCACACAGCGCCTTCACGACATGGTGGCAACAACAACAATACTACAGCGAGAATAAAAGTTACGCCTTCTTTCTTTGCGTGAACATTTGGGCGGCGTTATGCAAATCTTCCCACATCGTGACGTAGATGGTTTTAGGTAGGCGTGGCTGACTCTTAACTTTTATAAAGAATATCTCTTTGGATTTGAGACTTTAGTCTTTGCAACTTTACAGATCTTATTTATGCACCAAGAGCTTGTAACACTTCAAAGAGAAAGGAACAATTATTACATTTTTAGTACAAACATTAATTTAGTCAATTTAATTGGCATGCAGACAATACATCAGTAGATGCTTTGTACTTACCAGTTCTGCTTGGAAGTACATTTAATATGTTTTTTCATACGGTTTCAGCACTTTTAAAGGCTGAAATGAAAAGACCAACTGTGTTTGTAATTTATGTTATTTAAATTATGAATGAAAAAAATGGACATGGACTGTCACAGTTGGTACAGTGTAGTAGATAGGGCCTGTAAGTATATTTAAACATTTTTCAAAAGATAATCTTTTGTGTTTAACAGAAGATAGTCACAGGTTTGGAATGACATGAATGTGAGGAATTTTCATTTTTGGGTGTATTGTCCCTTTAAGTCTTAACAGACTGATGTCACTGTAACAACAGGAAAACAGAAAACAGTCTTTTTCTGCTGCTTTGCATGTCTGTATGTGTACCAGTCACTGATACCACGAAACCAACCCTACCTTACCACTGTGCTTTTTTTTAACTCTCAACAAACACAGAAGCAAAGTAAATGTTTGCTTCTGTGTACATGAAGAAGCTCAGATCTTCAATGTGATAAGACAACTACAAATTAAACTCCAATTCAAAAGAATTCTTATGAGTTGATTCTTATCACATTTACTTATCTTTATTACAATGTCATACAAACGCTAATATCTATTAGTATTCCTAGAAACAGGATCTCTAGAGAAAAAAAGTAGTCCATTCCTGTGAATACGCAAATGTTTGGAAGCATGTTAGTGAGTCAATATTACAGACACTGAAGCAAGAATAAAGAAATGTCACAAGTGTGTGTTTTAGAATAATGATGATAAATCTAAAGCAAATGAAAGTAAATGAGAATTGAAAAGAGGATGTTAGTAAACAATTAAAAAGCAAGAACAGTTGTTTCAGAAGATCCGGCCGACTTGGATGCAGCAATCTCCTGTCATGATGAAAAAACAGATTACACATAACATTTGTAGACATTTAATTGGAAACTTTGTTTTTCCTGCTTTCAGAGAATGCCAAGGAGGAATGGTGCAACCTTCAAATTTTACAAGCCTCCACAGTGCTGAGAAGCCTGAGTAAAATCCAGTACAAATGGTCCTCAGGTGGTGATATCTCACAACACGCTCGAAAACTACTGATCCTAGTTACTGTGTCTTGTGTTTGCCCTCTTTATCCTGTATATTATGATGTTATTTGATTATTTCACCCAAATAAATAATTGAATCTCAAATCTAGCTTGCCTGGAATAATGTTGCAAAAGTGAAAGATGTAGCGAATCAGCTCATGGGGAAATATGAATAATTAACCATAACTAGTTATAATTAACTATGCTTCAGCAGCTTTGTCTTCACTAGTTCATATAAAGAAATTAAATTAAGATATTTATATATTTAATCTATATAAATGTATCAATTTAATATATATTTTTAAAAAGGCAGAAAAAAAGATTTCCAAAATAATTTTTTTTCTTTCGCTGTCGCTCTTTTCATTTTGATTTTTTAATAACAAATGACAGTTACATCACCTAGACAATTATGACCTACAAACATATCAAAATAATAAAGGAAATTTACTTTTCATGAGAGAAAAGTGTTTTATGTAATTTTAAATGTTAGTATTTTAGTATATTTTTAAATAACTAATAGTTTGGGGAAGAAGAAAATTGTCATTGACCCATATATGCAAAAATATATAAAGGGAGGGAGGAAGAAAAAGTAGTGTGTGTGTGTGTGTGTGAGAGAGAGAGAGAGAGGGAGGAGGGAGGAGGGAGGAGGGCATCTAATCGGATTATGGAGGCAGAGTTTTGTAACGCACGCGTCTATTTCTCACTTATCTTCTGCGGGGAATGTCCAACGCTTCCACCCTCAAAGCTGCTTGTTTGGAACATCACAATATCAGAAAAGTTTCTCCAGGAAACAAATTGCGACATTCTGAAGACTTTCATATTACATGGAACTGCAAATCTACTTGTTTTCGGTTTCCACATGCGTTTCTGATCGTCGCCGGGTGCTGCTGATGAACACTACATTGACAGTGGCGTTATAGAGTCAGCAGTTATCAAAATGAGCTGATAAAACTACGGTACGTTATTATTACATGGACACCAATTGCACTTGCTTTGAGTGGGGAAATGAAGTCGCGGATACCCAAAAGATTTGAACCTCCGTTTGGAGATTAGACGCTTTTTAAAATAGCATTTTTGCTCGTTTGGTATCTATGATTTTAACGTAGGCTACCTAAATGCAGCTGAAGGAGACCAGGAGGTGACTTGAGGATTTTATCCTATTGGGGTTAAATGGTTCTGATAACGGACTGCAGGGATGGCGGAGGATCATCTCCAGGAAGGGTTAAACCACTTAGACATGCTAAAAGCGGCCCGATCTGTCCCACTATCGTGGAGGAATCACCTGATCGCGCGGGCGATGACGATTATGATGAATATCTTGGCTCGGTTGAGTTGGATGAGGACTTCGAGGAGTTGGATGACTTCTCTGAACTGCCGGATAACAGGAGTATCGTCTCAGATGACTCCTTTTATCCACCGGACGATGACTTTGTTGACTCCGAGAGAACCCCTTCCCCGGAGAGTCCCGCTCCGCTGTCCTTTTTCCAAGCGTGTCGCAACAACAACGCGCTTATAGTGAAACTCATGATTAGACAAGGTGTTACGGAGGAGGACGTCCAGGAGACGGACAAAAACAATAGAGTAAGTAGTTTAGGAATATCAGACACAAATTAAATGAATAATTAAGTACTGACACACTTTACAGTACAGTACGCATTCTATATCGCATGCTACAGGTAAAGGCGAAGTATGTAACAAAGATGTGAACGAGTCGTTCTCTTGAGTCGGATTTTTTATTTAAATGATTGAACAAAACCGGTCTGAACGATTCTTTCACGAATTGAAATAGATTAAAGGGATGTTTCACCCAAAAAACGAAAAATTGCAGTTTATTTACTCAACCGCAGGCCATCCAAGATATAGGTGACTTTTTTTCTTAAGTAGAAGAAGAGTAAAGATGATTTTTTTTTAGCTGAAACCATTGTCCATGGTTATTCATAAAACGTAAGTAAACGGCTACCTGCACTTTGAGAGTCAAAAAAGAAAAGAAAAAAAGAAGCACATCAGGCAACACAAAAGTAATAATACCCGTGACTCCTGGTGATATCTTGAGGTCTTCTGAAGCAAAATGATCGGTCTGTGCAAGAAACTGAACTTTATGTGCAACAGACTTCTGTATTCTGTTAACCTGGTCCGGTTCAAGCGTTTTGCATAGGCTATGCTTTGTTAAATATGAAGCAGTTTTACTTAAGATGCCTTCAAAGTAGATACCAAAGATTATTATAACCAATGTCTATCACATATGCGGAATGATATCTAAAAGTTTTTTTATTTTTATTCTTTTCACTAACATTTGGATATAAAATTGAATAAAACGTCAACAATAAAAACAGCTAGCTAGTTTAACTGATTATCTTAAAAGTCCATAGATATCGCTATTATTTATTACGGCTGTTAGCACGTTCTCCGACAAGCGGAAGCGATGGACCTGTTTTCTGGGTTTGGTCAGGTGACGTTTGACATATACCCCATTGGCCTCAGGCAAATGGGATGTCTTATTTTTTACAGGAACTGGTTCTTTCGGACAGTTCATTTCAATGAACTTGTTCAAACAACTGATTCACCAGATTGTTACGTACACAATGACGTAACATATAAGCAATTATATTATTAAAGCATCCAATAATGATGTGAAATGCAAATGTTTACTGTACATGTCTAAAGCATATAAATTGATTTAACTAGACTTAATCAACTCGCCTTTTTACATAAACCATGAGGAACCATAAACACTTTTATTTGGCTCCTTCATTTCTTCAAGTGCTCGGTTCACGCATGCTCAAATCAGCAGCTCATGGGTTCTCCAGTCTGAGTCTGAACCGTTTCCTCAGTTCAGTTTGGTGTGACTGTCGGCCACATCCAAAAGTGAGTTTTGATTGAGCAACTTGTAGATCTGTTCTGGCTTGAGCTGTAAACTGATTAAGATAGGTCAGTCCCATTGGTAAACTGGTTAAAATAATGATTTGATTGTGAACCGGACTTCACTCCAGACCGTTTGCCTGAGGCTATGGATTACAGGTAATGATGTTGTAAATAATGCACAGACCAATCATATATTGTCAGATATTTCAAATATTTTGTGTTGCCTGATAATCTTTTCAATCTCAACGTGATGGTAGACGTTGACATTTATGAATCTCCAAGGATCATGACTTCAGCTAAAAATCTTCTTTATTGTTCTTCTGAAGAAACACCTACATCTTAGATGGCCTGAGGGTGAATAAATTAATAGCAAATAAAAATTTTTGGGTGAACGATCACTTTAACAATTCATCGACTCTGAACTGAGAACTGTCTTGTTTGAACTAGGGATGCACCGATATGAAAATTTTGGCCGATACCGATAACCGATTATTCTTTATTTTTGAAAGCCGATAACCGATATGTTGGCCGATAAATCTATATCCAAATTGTTATATACTTTTTGAGAGCCTGATTACAAAAAAGGTCTCATCATTAAAAGCCACATCCCAAACACTTCAACATAAGCAGCCTAGTTTGAACGGTGTACGTTTTAAAAATATGTTTACTCTCCCATTACCAAATTTAGTCATAAAAAAGTCTTACAAATAAATAAAATTATGCATAAATAATGCAAACAAGTCACTGGACATCATTACACGTGTAAAGAATCAAAATGAATGCGCCATAGATCAATAAAACGGAATAGCCTCTGCACGGACAATAATTAAATGATTTTAATTACTAAACCATATTGTTGATGAAAATAAGAGAAAAATACAATTAAGCTACATTACGTGTTTTATTTATAATGATTTTCTATGGGAGGAAAGCGTTTAATGTGCAATTTAACGAATTGCGTTCTGGGGTCGTCTGCTTGCCTGTACGGAGTTGATCCTTTTAAAATCACTTAATGCATTTCAAAATGCACATTTATATTTGTTGTTCTGTATATACTTTGAGTCAACAACAAGACATAGGCTACTGTATTGTCTTTATCATAGTCCGTTATTATACAACATTAAGCATTTTGCTGTATGGGAGGACAAGTGAAAGTTTGCGCATTGTGTTCATAGCCATCTCTTTGCCTTGTAGTACATTAAATAATAACTATATATCGAATTTGATCTTTTAATTGAACTTAATGTATCTTAATACATTACGCCATGTTAGGTGTTTATGTTTTTCTACAGGAGGAAAACGCTTAACGAGAGACTTTGTGCATTGCGTTCATATTCTGCTGTTCTGTGGCGACGGATTTGCGGGTCTTGTCTTTTTCTTGCAGGACCCTGTATGTTATAGTACTAAATTAGTTTTAATCGTTTAATCACCACAGGGTCTTGTCTCCATTGGCAACACGCACCATTTGTGTCGATTGCAAGTGACGTCATTTAGTAATTTAGTTTCTTTTTTCTTGTCTTCACCACCTGGCTACAGTTGTGAAATGTTGAGCGATTCAAACAAAAAGTAATCAATAAATAGAACAAAATAAAAAAAATAAAAGACTGCAAGTGATGTCGCTAGCGGAAGCGCAAGTGTCTGAGAGTGCAAGTCTGAGAATGCAAGTCTGAGAGTGCAAGTGCGAGGCTGCAGCTAGACCCTCTTGGAGTTTATGGTAAAAGCATTTGGAATCAAACAAGGAAATGACTTAAGGAGAGAAAAGTAAATTACTTTAATAGCCAAATAGCAGAAATGTTACAAATAAAATGCAGGCCTACTGGAAATTTCATGAATTGTATGAGTTTTATGAACAGAAATGGTTTAAATTTTAACATTTTGTTAATATTATTTGTAGGTTTATAAACTTTTTTTAAATAGACTTGGAGAACAAGATTTCGTTTCTTAGTTGTTGAGGATTTTTATAAAAAAATTGAGAAATGCAAAGGCTGACCACAATGTTAATTTAAAGTCTCAACCATCTATCTTCTTCATTCTTACCTATAGTTTAATTGTGATAGTCACAATAACTTACATTTAGGCTGATTCACACTGCCCCAACAAATGCATGGTGTTAACACACTGATCCAGCACAACCCAGCACTCCTTAAACATATTGTGGTGTAAATGTAAAGGTGATTTATAATGTTCCAGTAACAAAATGTCATCCAGTAACAAAGTCAGTTAGACAATCGATTTTACATGAAAATCAAACACATGAAGTTTCAGGGTTGATTCTGGCAGACTGCTGTGACCTCTAAGGCATCTGTGGTGGGATAATTACATTATATAAAAGTAAAAACAGCTGACAATTCAAAGGAATACATGCATTTTAAAATAGAAAACAGTTTTGTAATAATATTTCAGAATATTAATGTTTTTACTGTATTTTTGTTGTCATACTTAAAGGGGTCATATGATGCGATTTCAATTTCTCTTTGGAGTGTTACAAGCTCTTGGTGCATAAAGAAGATCTGTAAAGTTGCTAAGACTAAAGCCTCAAATCCAAAGAGATATTCTTTATAAAAGTTAAGAGTCAACCACGCCTACCTAAAACGGCTCGTTCTAACACGCCCCCACATGTCTACGTCACAATGTGGGAAGATTTGCATAACGCCGCCCAAATGTTCACGCAAAGAAAGAAGGCGGAACTTTAATTCTTGCTGTTGCCGCCGCTGCTATGTTGTGGAGTCGCTGTGTGTTTTGTTGTGAAAGCGAAACTACTTTGTTTGGTCTTCCAAAAGAGGACACAACTAGAAATCAGTGGTTAAGTTGTATTTACAACACTGTTCCAGAACAGTTCAACCCAAATATTCAGATGTGTGCAGCGCATTTTATGGAGGACTGTTTCCTGATCCTGGTAGAGTAG